TTCTATATTTATGAATTTGCCTATTGTAGGACCTCCTATAAGTGGAGCTATACAGTGTTTGTCCTTTAGTAACTAGCTTATGTCACTCAGCATAATGTACTCAAGGTTTATCTATGTTATAGTATATGACAGGATTTCCTTCCTTTTTAAGCCTGAATCATATTCCATTGTCTATGTAGACCACATTTCAGGTATTCATTCATCCCGTCTGCCAGTAGACACTTGTGGATGGCTACCACCTTTCAGTCATTGTGAATAATAACGCTATGAACATGGGTATACAGATATCTTTCTGAGACCCTGCTTTCAATTCTTTTGGATGTATACCCAGAAGTGGAATTGCTGGATCATATGGTGATTCTATTTTAACTTTTTGAGGAACCGCCATACCATTTTCTAGAGCAGCTGCATCATTTTACATTCTCACCAACAGTGACAGGGGTTCCAATTTCCCTGCAGCCTTACCAACACTTGTCATTTTGTTTGTTTTTTTATGGTGACCATTCACTTTCATTTTTAAAAATATTTCAACCAGAAAGGATTGATATCAAGAGCCCACTTCCTGACTTTTCCAAACATTTATTGAAACTCCTTGACAAAGCTTGAACTTGCTGTGCTGCACCCCAAACCTGGCTGTACTGGGCCTCTACTCTCCAAAGCCTGTGTTCTCTGAGCTCTGCTGCCTGGTTTCTCCCAGGAGGAACAAGACCCAAACACAGAATTCACTGACAAGAACTTGCTGATGACAGTCATTTATCTGCTGTTTGCCGGGACAGGAACGGTTAGCACCACGGTCCGATACACCCTCCTGCTTCTGATGAAATATCCGGAGGTCCAAGGTAGGAACCCTTTCCACCAGCCAAGCCCTGGGAACAGAAGCCAGGCCTCGAGAGGAAGAATGTTCAGGAGAGTGGACAGCCTAAGCCAGAGTCTGGAAATGACCATCGAACCTTGCATCTGGGGTGTCTGAGGAATGAGAAGTTGGGGGGACTGCGGGTTGCAGCATGAGGAAGGTGTAGTGAGAAATGAGGCAGGAGATGTCTCAGGGTCTTGTTACCTAATCCTGAGCAGTGGGGAGCCATGGAAGGATGTTGAGTAGGGAAGGGCAGGGTCAAATTGGCCTTTCAGAAAACTCCTTTGGGATGCCTTAAGGAGGTAGATTGTACAGGTGACGGACAATGCCAGGAGCCCAGGGAGAAGGACTGGTAGGGACCTGGGTGGGAGAGGACAGGGCTGGGCCAAACTGTGCGGAGGGAGGAGGGGACCGAGCAGGCAGGCAGGTGATAGAGAATGACAGGGGAGGAAGGAATCCAGGGTCAGGGCCAGGGCTCTGGCTGGGGGGCTGGGGGACTGTGGGGCCACCCTGAGATGGGGACAGAAAGGATGAGGGACTGTTTCAGGGGAGACACAGGCCAGTTTGGGACATTTTGAGTGTGAGGGTTCTGGGGCCACCTGGGACGAAGCATCCAGGAGGGTCAGCACTGGAGATGAAAAACAAATTAGGGTCATCAGAGCACAGGCAGGACTGAAGCTGGGATGGTGAGGGAGGGCGCGTGGGTAAGAGGCAGGGCTGGTCACAGGCCCCAAAGCACTCCAGCATCTCAACGTCAGGCATCTGTGGTAAACGCTGTCAAGTCAGTGGGGTGGGCTCACCTGGAGGATAGGACTCTTGGGATCTGGTGGCCTTGGTGGAACAGAGTCAGCTGTGACTTCAGCTCTCTGGGCCTCAGTTTCCTCATCTGCGACATAGGGAAAGATACTGGTAGGAGATAATCCTACCTCACGGGATTGCTGAGGGAGTTAAGAGAGGAGAGATGTAATGCCCATCACACAGGAGGTGTGGGACCCAGGCGCAGCGAGGGCTGGGGGACTCTGCCCTCCCAACTTCCAACCTCACCCCTAACCACAGCTGCTCAAGAAGATGGGGCTCCACCCCACCTCTGACTTCCAACCCTCCTCCTCTTGGGACCAGAGCGTGTGCGGGAGGAGCTGACAAGAGAGCTGGGGGCTGGCCGGGCGCCAAGCCTGGGGGACCGAACCCGCCTCCCGTACACTGACGCGGTTCTGCATGAGGCGCAACGGCTGCTGGCGCTGGTGCCCATGGGGATACCCCGCGCCCTCACGAGGACCACCTGCTTCCGAGGGTACACCCTGCCCCAGGTGGGTCTGCGGGCCAGCCATGCCCAACAGTGTCTTTGCCT